TTGACTTTTGCCAAAGCTTGCCCTCCTGTTTTTACCTCCCATATCCACTTCTGGAATTATAGGTATGAATATTATAGGTATGAATATATGTAAAAAAAGGTTTTTGAATTGGTTCATACGTTCATAGGCTTCAAAATTCAAGAAGTATGTAGTTGAAAGTTTCTTCCTACCCTGTTTAGTAGCTACTCATTTTGTTTTCCTGCCTTAGTGCCAACAAAAACTGAATTTTGTGTGACTTCAAGAGAGAAAGTGCTCTCCAGCCCAGTGTGATGGTGTACCACATTGGATAACTTTTTCCTCCCCTTTCTCAGCATGCTAGGAACTTACTCTGATGAATTTGGAAACCTAGATTTTGAGCGGTCTCAGCATGGCTCCGGAATGAGTAACAGGTCCACAGCAAAAAGATTTATTTCTGCTCTCAATAATATTGCTGAAAGAACTTACAATAATTTATTTCAATTCCAACAACTTCGCCAGATTGCCAGAGAGCTAAATATTCAGGTAGGATAAACTAAATATGTTTTAGAAATAATTAATGTATAGTAGAAAGTAGCCATTTTCTACTTATTTAATATTCAAATCTACCTCTTGTCAAGGTTGTTAGTCTCTTGATAGAGGGAAGTTATTGTGGTGAGACCCACAATAACTGAACAATCCCTGTAGGCAAGTTATAGCCATGTGTTTGACTTCAGTTTTTACCTCTGTTAAGTAGGCATGATTCTACTTCCCTTTCTATGAAATTCTAGCAAAAATCAGTGTAATTGCATTTTAAGCAAGTACGTTTATATGTAAAATTGCCCACAGAATTTCAAAAGATAGCCTAGTTGGGCACCAGTAGCTCACGCTTGTAATCCTAGATACTAAGGAGGCTGAATTCTGAGGACAGGAATTCAAAGCCAGCCGGAGCAGGAAAGTTCATGAGACTCTACCTTCAGTTAACCACCTGAAAACTGAAAGTGGTGCTGTAGCTCAAAGTGGTAGAGCACTAGCCTTGAGCAGAAGAACTCAAGGACAGTACTCAGGCCCTGAGTTCAAGCCCCGCAACCAACCAGAAAAAAAAAAGATAGCTTATATTTTGTTTAAGGCATATAATGTGTGTGTGTGTGTGTGTGTGTGTGTGTGTCTGTGTGTGTACATTTATATATATGCTTTGCCTACTGGGGTACTGTAAGAAAGTACAAATGATTTCATTTTCCAGGAAACCTGACAGTTGTTCATTGTCTGAGAGCCTAATTTCAAAAGCCAGTAATTTGGCATATTTCCTAATGAGCTAATAACTCTTGATGTTTTCTTCTAGGTTGCTGATTTTGAAAATTTTATTGGATCATTAAATGACCAGGGTTACCTCTTGAAAAAGGGCGCAAAGGTTTACCAGCTTCAAACTATGTGAAAGGACTTTCCAAGTCAGGCCCCATAGAGTATTAATAATGAAGATATGCAAAAACAAAACAAAAATCCCCAAAGTTCTCCAGAAAATGATGTCCCAAAAGTATTGTAATAGGAAGGAACTGTTAAGATATGCTCTACTAAGTTAAGAAGGGATAAAGTTATATGTTAATGTTATATATCTCCTCCAAAAGGCTGAAAAGAGCTTTCCTTATTTTACTTTATTTATAGTTATATTTTATAGTTTCACACATGAAATGTCTTATCAGGGTAAGCATTCTGGTAATACGTAAACAAATGAGTGTATGTTCCAATAAAACTTCATTTTTCAACACTAAAGTTTGGTTTCCTAAAAACTTCCTATCAAGAATAAAATGACACTTGCTTTTTAAAATAATGGTTTAATAGTTATGTACAGTGAGTCTGATGTGGCCTACAATCTGTAGACTCTTGATTAGAAGCAACAGAGACTCAAGCAAGAAAAGGATTTTTTTTTTAAAGAAATGTGGTTAGTTTAGACTTGCAAGAAGTCTGAGAACTTAAATCTGGCCTGAAAAGAGTTACAGATACTTTCCTGCCACACAGGTACCAACTTCTCCTGGCCCACCATTGCTAGGCCAGAATGCCCCACCCCCCACCAGAATAGCAACAAACAGACTCTTCTTGGGGCTTCCTTAATTAAATTGCTGAATTTAAGAGAACTCTCATTTTGAAATGATGTGAAGAAAAGTCAAGCCTAAGTTACGTGCCTTGTTCATAAGATGTTAAGGAGTTTTCCTGGCTCTTGAGGGAAGCAGGACCAGCAAACACAGAATTTTCTATATTTTGTGAAAGGATTCAAATGGAACTGGGTTGCCAGCCAAACTACACATACATATACACAGAGACAAATAGATGTGAGCCATTATTGGAAAATCTAAAACACTACTTTTAGCAAACTAGAAGATGAATGAAAAAAATATTTTTTAAAACTGGCAAGATAAAAAGATAGTGGGTGGGTTTATCCTGAATATTTAACCAACGTAAGACAAAAAACATGAATGTGGGGTGATTGCCATAGAACACAATATAAAATTAAAACCTTATTTTTCGTGGGTGTGGGTACCAGGGTTGTAAGATCAGGACCTTCCTCTTACTTAGTTGGCACTCTGCCACTTGAGCCATACCTCCAGCCTTGATTTGTGCTGGTTATTTTGCAGATGGAGTCTCACGGACTTTTCTGCTCCAACTGGCTTTGACCTTCCATTCTATAGATTTCTGAATAGGATTATAGGTTTGAGTTACTGGCGCCCTGCAAAAACCTGATACTAAAATGAAAGCCAAGTACAGTGGTATAATCCCAGCTACACAAGGGCAGAAGCATGAGGATCCAGAGTTCTGAGCAAGCCTGGACAAAAATCTGCAAGACCCTTTCCCAATACAGAAGGGCTGATGTGGAAAGCTTAGAGCCCATGGGTTCAACCTGTACCCACATCAAATCAAATCGGGGATAAAGTAGATAGTGTAAATACAATGTCTTCAAAGTCTAGAGGGTTAAAAGCATATGTCAGCCAGGCAATGGTGGCTCGTGCCTGTAATCCTAGCTACTCAGGAGGTTGAGATCTGAGAATTGTGAGAGCCCAAATTCCAAACTGTGAGATTGGGAATTTGGAAGGTCTCAGAACTCTCATAACACTGGGAGTTTCCTGGAGAGGTCAATAATTCCTGGCTTAATGGGAAGTCAGATTTCTATCCTGGGTGTGGGCTAATTTCACCCTAAACTGCTTGGGAACCTGGGGTAGACTAAGGTTTATGCAAATTGTAAGCTGTTTACTGTTTAGCTCTCATTCACAAGATAGGGAAGTCATCTACCATGTGTACAAAATATTGTCACACTTTGACATACCTTACTTTCTGCATATACTTCCCTATACAAAACCAGTAAAAACCTTGGTTAATGGAACCTTGGGATCTGAAGCTGGCAGAAGGCTACAGGTCTCCCCAAACCTCAGTTCCACTGTCCAGTCTCCATTACTGCCTTGCTCCTGGTCACAGCGGGTTAAGGAGCACAAGGGGGCTTGCAACAGAGTTTGATGGTTTAAAGTCAGCAAGAGCAGAACATACTTGAGGCTAGTATTTCCAATTAGCTACCAAAAGCTGGAAGTAGAGCTGTGGCTCAAGTGGCAGAATGGTAGCCTTGGACAAAAAATGCTTAGGAACAGTACTTAGGCCCTGAGTTCAAGCTTCAGGAACAGCAACAAAAACAAAAAAAAGAGGAAAAGGCTGGAAGTGAAGCTGTGGTTTGACACTATTAGTAGAAAGCTCAGGGACAATATCAGGCCCTGAGTTCAAACCTCAGGACTGGCATTTTAGATAGATAATCAAAAAAGTTAACATCAATGAAAACAAAAAGGAATTACACAATTCATCAGTGTTGGTCAAAGAGGAAACAAAGTTATGGAAAGTCAAATGTTAAGGATATATAAAGTTACATTGGGGAAAGATGACAGAAGTCTAATTTATCAGAAGAAACTGCTCTAGATTTCTGATTCTGTATTTGGTATCCACTAATCACAGAACCAAACAGCCAGAAGTGTAGAAAGCCGACCTGGCCAAAAGCACACAATCCTCGAAATATAACCACAGAGAGGATGGCCTGGCTTCAGCAGTGTAGTGCTCCCTTACTTAGCAAGCGTGAGGCTCTCGATTAAAAACTAGTACTGCTAAAAAGAAAAAATAAAGCATATTCAGTTTGACAAAGTTCTGTAATATGCCTGAACACTGATTGTGTACTATTTTGATTTTAGCAAAAAACAAGATTTTAACCTTTTAGCCTAAGCTTCATTATCTGTAAAAGTAGTAATGGAGCCCATAGTAGATTTGGGAGGATTAGATAGGATAATATTTAGTATAATAGGCAAGCTTTCCCAGTAAACTAGTAATTGGTAATGGACATTTTATATTATTTTGGACATGTGCACTTTCATTTCATGCTCATGAAGAAAAAGGGAGGTGAAATATGGAACTAGAACATTATTTCTGTCAGATACTAATTTAAAACTCCCATTGAGCCTACACAGCATAGTGCACAACTCAGTGTACTCTTTCTGATGACTTTTTTTTTTTAATGAGGGTTCTGGGGCTTGAACTCAGGACCTGGGCTTTGTCTCTGAGCTTTTTTGCTCAAGTCTAGTGCTCTACCACTTAGCCACAGTTCCGCTTCCAGCCTTTTTGGTAGGTAATTGATAAGAATTTGACAGATTTTCCTGCCCAAGCGGACTTGGAACCATGATCCTCCGATAGCAAACCCTCCCTAACCCCCCCAGCTCCCCCTCCCCGCCCCAGGATTTTAGACTGTAGACTGAGATGGCTCCCTGATGTTTTTGCTGCAGCGCACATCCCTCCTTGTCCAGGACCACTGGCCGTCGGGCGTGCATAGACAGAGGTTAAAAAAAAAAAAAAACACAAAATACAAAAAGAAACAAAACAACAAAAATAACAATACTGCTTTTGCAAAGGCATGGACTGTAAATGCCTGCGTCGGCCACCCGGGGGCGCCGGGGAGCAGGTCCACGTTGGTGTCGTAAAAGCGTCGCGAAAACGTCCTTCCTTGGCGGTTCCAGACTTCCTGTATAAGAGGAATGTGCTAGGTCTGGAAATCAGTATGGAGGCCTCAGCCGCCGCGCCTCTCCGCGGTCGCCGGGCCTGCGGGGTGGGCCGGCGCGCCGGACGTGCGGTCTGCTGAGCTCCGTGCGGCTTGCGGGCCCGTGGCGCGGGACATGCTGGCCTGGCGCCTGGCGCGCGGCTCGTGGGGGTCGCTGCGCGCGGCCGCGCGGGCGCCATGGGCGCGGCCGGGCCGGGGGCGCGGCCGCGGGGCGCTGCTGCCGCCCGCCGCCTGCTGCCTGGGCTGCCTGGCCGAGCGCCGCTGGCTGCGCCCGGCCTCGCTCGGCCTGCGGCTGCCGTGGCCCGCTCCGCGGAGCCACTGCTCGGGCGCCGGGAAGGCGGCGTCGGAGCCTGCGGCCGGAGGCGCCGCCGCCGAGCCCGCGAGGGGCCGCTGGGGCCCGTCGAGCACCGCCAGCTTGGTACGTGCCCGGGGTGGGGTGGGGGGATGGCGGAGAGCGATCGACCCCGGCGGGGGGCGGCCACTGGGCCGGGTAGGCCCGCCTCGGAACTTCCCCAGGGTTTCCTGAGAAGTTGGGGGAGGTCACTGGGCCCTCAGCCCTTTCCATCCACACGCCTGGCAGGAAGGGCCGTGGGCGCATTGCATCGGGAGGAGGGTCTTCCGCGGGGTGGGGTGGGGGGCTCACGCGTGCCCTCCTAGCCAGCTCAGGCCGGAAGTTGAGATCTGAAGAGCGAAGTTCCGTAGTCACCAAAAAGCTGGAAGTGGAGCTGCGGCTCAAGTGGTAGAGCACCAGCCTTGAGTGACAAAAGCTCAGGGAAGGCAAGCCGACCCACTGGGTCCTGAACTTTGGCCTCCTTAAAAAGCTAGAAAAGTCTTCTAAAGCATTCCTTTAATGTGTAAGCCACGAAGATACCCAGACCCCTTGGTTTAGTGTTTAACCTAATTTCAGACTCGATTCACTTCACTTTGTGTGTGTGGGGGGGGGGGGGGGGGGAGGCTGTCCCAATGGGGATTGAACTCAGGGTCTCGGGCTTTCCCTTGACCTTTTTGCTCAAGGTTGATGTTCCACGTCTCTCTCCACTTCCAGCCTTCCCCCCTCTCCCCATTTCGATACATACTGTTATATGATAGGTACATAGGCATCGAGCCTTTGTGTTCCTCCTCTAAGAGTATTCCTCCCTTCTATGCCTGGAGTCCTGTATGGTTTATCATACCTCGGTGAACTTTAGATCTAGCGCCCGCATAGGAGAAAACATGTGTCCTTTCTGTGTCTCTGAGCACTTCCAGCTTTTTGCGTGTTGATTGGAGATAAGTCTTCACTGATTTGTTTGCCTAGGCTGGCTTCAAACTCAGATCTCAGCCTTCTGAGTAGCTAGGATTACAGTCCTGAGCTACCATTGCCTACGGCTCTTATTTGACTTTTGTTAACCTTACCCGTTAGGATGGAGAATAGTTTTAATTAGTTGTTAAAAAGTTCTTCAACTTCTAATTACAGACCAAAAAAAGAAAAAGAAAAGATTAGAACTATTCTTAGGCCACAGAGGAGAGTATTTGTCCACCTACCTGCTCAACTACTTCCCAGGCATAAGACCCCCAGAGCTTTTGATGTCATGTTAGCAAGACTCATGCAATTATTACATCTTCAATTGTTAGGTCTTCAGTGGGCCCCTGTGCTGCTTTCATCAGTTTACAGCATGGGTTGAGGCTGCCACATCCTGGCAGGGCTCTCAACTCCCCTACTAGCTAAAGCATGTTGAGGTTTGAATGCTGGAAGCTTTGAAGTTGCCCTCATCCTGGCTGAAGACCTTCCCAGAACGGCTGTAGTTGGTCGAGTATGCCACAGGTTATCTGGTTGGGTAATCTAAGATTAGCTCTCCTCATGTTAGTTTTTAAAACTTTTTACCAGGTCTAATGATTCAAAATTTAAGTGAGATGTTTTAAGTGAGATATTTTATAGGAAGACCAAAAGAACTCCTTTCACTGTTGGAGCAACATTCCATTTTGTTTATTCACCAGTGTGAATGTGGCTGTTTGCCTCCATAGTTATCTGTTGAGTGTTTGTTTCTGGTCTTTCACTTTGTCATCCTATTTTCTCAGTGTTGACCTACCTTCCCCCTTCCCAACTGGTTCTCTGAGTTGCTGGAACACTGGATCAGTATTTGACTTACACTCTGCCGATGTAGTCAACAGACTTACCTTTTTCCCTCTGAACTCTGAAACACTCTAGTCTTTGAGCTTGAATTTGGAATCTATTCTGAGGGTGTTTTCAGAATGTGGTCTTACTTTCAGTTGAAGATCCCAATGTAAAGGATTGTTTGGTGATTGTTCCCTGGAGAATTTGAAGTTGTTCTACAGCTTGCCCATGACAGTATGCTACCACTGACCCCAGTGACAAGCTGAGGTGCTTCCTTGCTGGCTTCTGCTTATAAACACAAACAGTATCTTTAGAGAATGCTTTTTCTTACAGAGTAGTTGATGGAAGTCAAAAAGGTGTCTTTAGAAATGAACTCTTCCACTAGGGGTTTTTCCTCCTAAATTAAAATTCAGACAAGTTGATTACTGATTTAAAAAAAAATGTAAGCTAAGCCGGGTGCTGGTGGCTCACACCTGTAATCCTAGCTATTCAGGAGGCTGAGATCTGAGGATCTTACTCAAAGCCAGCCCAAGCAGGACACTCCATGAGACTCTTATCTCCAAACCTCTCAGAAAACTGGAAGTGGCACTGTGGCTCAAGAGCACTAGCCTTGAGCTGAAGAGCTGAGGGACAGTTTCTAGGCCCAGAGTTCAAGTCCCACAACTGACAAATCCTAGCTATTCCAGAGGCTGAGATCAGAGGATCATGGTTCAAAGCCAGCCTGGGTAGGAAGAGACTTGTATTTCCAGTTAACCACCAAAAAAGCTGGAAATGGAGCTGTGGCTCATGTAGTAGAGCTAGACTAGCATTGAGCTCAAAAGCTCAGGGACAGCATTCAGGCCCTGAGTTCAAGCCCCAGGACTGACACCAAAAAAAAAAGTAATGTAGATATAATGTAGGATTACAGGTATGAGCCATTAGTACCCAGTTTAGGATTTGTTTTTTTTTTGAAGACCAAGTCCCATAGGGTAGAATTAACAGACTTTGATTTAGTAGAGGAAATACCTCAGGCTTTAGGGAAAGGCATTTTCTTGCTTCTTCTTCTTCTTCTTCTTTTTTTTTTTTTTACTTTCTTGTAATGTCTGTTCTAATTCCACTGGGCCAAAAATGCTTGAAGTTTTGAAATACCCTCTAACAAATCAGGTTCTGCTTGGCAAAGAAGAGTTTGTTTTTCAGAGCAGCTGTCAAGAGAGCCCTTTTGCTAGTGCCAGCTTCTAGCAGCTTGGCTCTAAATAAAGTTTCAAGGAATCAAAGCTCTCCATATGGTAGCTGTGAAAACCCTTGGTTCTTAGTTGGGAAAGTCTTATCTGTCCCATGGCTGTTTTGAAGCTATTTACACCGTTTTTCTTCATTCCATTTATCTCCATCTCTTCCTATTTCCACTTTCTCTTAGTAATTTTCTAGCTTTGTGACCAGAGGTTATAGAATTAAATCTGGCTCCCCTTATTCATACCTTCATACACTGTTTATGACATTGAGCATTTTTTTGGTGGATATATTTTCTGTGTTTAAAATAAAATGCCTAAGATTGCTAGTGGGTTCTGTGTATGTATGTGCACGCATGTGTGCATATACCAGTGGTGGGTCTTGAAATCAGGGTCTCTCACACTCATTTGGCTTTTTTGTTCAAGTTTGAGCCATGCTTCCAGATTTTTTTCTTTTGTTGATTGTAGTTTGAACTTAGGGCATGGGTGCTGTCCCCAAACTCTTTCTGCTCAAGGCTGTGTTCTCCCACTTTGAACCATAGTTCTACTTTTGGTTTCTGAGTGGTTAATTGGATATAAGAGTCTCATAGGGACTCTAGCTGGCTTTGAACCATGATCCTCAGATCTCAGCCTCCTGAGTAGCTAGGATTACACACGTGAGCCACTGGCGCCTAACTGCTTCCCAATTTTTGATAGTTAATAGAAGAGTTTCATGGACTTTCCTGTTCAGGCCAGCTTTGAACTGTGATCTTTAGATCTTAGCCTCCTGAGAGTAGCTAGTACTATTAATATGAACCATCAGCTACTGACTCAAACTCAATATTCTTCTGTCATTGTGATGAAACTTTCTGATATATATATGTATATATAGATAGATAGACACACACATATAGGAGTACTTATATATAAATATTAAATTTAAAGTTTGTATAGTATCTTACTTAAATGGATAAAGTGTAGTTTAAGTATGAACTTATGGTTTTTCATTTAAATTTTCTTATGTTTGTGTTTCAGTATGAAAATCCATGGACAATCCCAAACATGTTGTCAATGACAAGAATTGGCCTGGCCCCAGTTTTGGGCTATTTGATTCTTGAAGAAGATTTCAATGTTGCCCTAGGAGTTTTTGCTTTAGCTGGGCTAACTGATTTGGTAAGTTATAAATGTATTGTTGCTTGGCTCCTTTCCAAATCCCAGGGTCTCTACTACTGTCTCAAAATAGCACAGCCTTAGTCAGCTTTTCCTTGGAAGGAAATCTTCAAGATGAATTTGATCTAGTACTTATCTTTAGCATCTGTGTTGGACTGCTTTTATATGATATTGTATAGAGGCCTAGGAGAGGTACCGTTTTTACTCTTGGTTTTAGACTGCTTCATCAAAGAATTACCTCTAAGAATTCCCAAGAGCTAAATGCTTGCTTTAGGAATAAAAATGATGGAGAGAAGCTTTGACTTATTTTTTAATTTGTTGTGATAGAAATACTCTGATCTGCAGCAAGAGTTGATTTTCCTAGTGGAGTTCTTGGAAATAGTAGACTAGTTGTTATGGCCCAGAAAACTAGAATGTGACCTTGTAAAAGAAGCTAGAACTCTGCTCAGCTTTAATGTCAGCAGGAGAGGCTGGGGTTAGCCCATGTATTGGATCTCTGATTCTGCTCCACACCCCTCTTACCTACCCAGCAGGAAATCTTGTCTGGGTTGGGCTTTGGGCATCCTTCCTTCTGCTACTATTTCAGAAGATGGACAGGGGAGAATAGGATGAACCTTTGGCAGTTTTGGAAGAGGAGAGTATTATGGATTTCAAAATAGAACTGGAAGAAATAGTTTTATAGAGAGTATTGAGGGATTTCAAAATAGAACTGGAAGAAAAGACTACATTTTTGTTTCCTGGCCAACTGTCATCATGTATGACATTTGCATTTATCACCCACCTTCTTCCATAAAGGATTAAAAATAACTTACAAAACTCCATGTAAGTGGGGGAAAAGGAAGAGGGAGAACTTCATATCAGGGCAAAATTAGCAGATAGGAATACAAATGGTATTTTGTGTAGGATTGGTCTGAGATCTAAGTGAGCCCTCAGGTAGGCAATAATTTGGTGCTTTTTCAAACCATTTATGTTTAACACTTTTTATTCAGTATATATTTAGTAAGAGTAGAAACTAATTTTCTGTAAATAAAACTTATATAGTATCTTTCCTTGTAATGTCAGCTGTTCTGAGATTATAAACAATATTCTACCTTCCCAGTAGCATTTATAAGTAGATTAGCTGAAGAATTTGAAGGGTAAATTCATTGTTGTATACTATTTCCAAAGAGCCATCGAATACAGTCTTTCAAATTAGCTCTCCTCTTTATCCAGACTCTAGTTCTTATTTGCCTCCAAATCTTTCCATTCTCACAATCTCCTCTTTTTTGTATATGTGCCTACTTTTATCTTTAAAACCTGGAAGTCTCTTCTCATTAGTGGACTTCCAAGCCTGTCAAAGACCTTTATATTGATAATGAATTTTTTTATCTAATAGGCAAAAGGTTTTTTTCGTTATTGGATTCACCTTTCATGTTTTTCTGCTAGTTTGTGGGTTTGTTTTTCTTTTTGTTTTGGAGGGGGTAGAGGTTTAACTGCCACATGAGATTGCAATATTCACAGAGTGGGAGAGGACCTAGTTACCATTTTAAAGAACGTGTTAGATGCTAGATATGGAAACGTAGCTAACGTACTAGGTTGCACACTTACTCTGTGGAGACTTTGACGCTCACAGATTGGCTTCTGTGCAGGTGGCCCTGCCTCACCTATCTCACTACAGGAGGCCAGCGTAGAAGCAGAGCAACTGGGCCGAGAGGCTGGCCTAGGAGAGAGGTGGCAGTGTGGACTGAGTTGGGTTTAGAGCTATAGCTGATGGGTTTGATATAATATTTTGGACAGTGTTGAAATGTGGATAGTTTGGATATGTGGAGTAAAAAGGAATGAGATAGAAACATCAGGCTGCTCCTTTTTCCTCTCTTTCCAGCAGCCAGATCAGTGGAGCAACATTTTCTGGGATGGGCAAACACTGCGGGGGGAGAATTGTGATAAGGCATCAGTTGAGTATTGAATGTATTAGTAAAGTTGGGAGAGTAGAAAAATAGAGTCAAGCTAAAGTTGTTTATAAGTATATGTCTGAGGAATTTTTGTTTTAGCTAATTAATAGATACGGGGTAGGAAAGGAAAGCTTGATGCAAGGGAGATGGGGAAGGGAAGGCAGGAGACAAAACTTGCAAGTGGGAGGAAAGGGTAGGTAGAAGGAGCAGTATGGGGTTGTTGGGAACATGAGCAGGTGCTGATCATTTTTGTTGTGATTCTCCCCTCCCCTCCCCAGGACACTATAGACAGTCATGGACTAGAAAGATGAAGTAGGTCAGAGGTGAGAGGGTAAATTCAAAAGAGAGGTGGAGGATAGAGTGCATTGTGTGTCCAAGGGAGATTGGGGTCATGAATTGGAAGTGAGACTGGGCAGCACATTTGTTTCTTACACAGTGCTCAGGCCCAAGATACACGCTTAGTTTGTGGCAGGGTTGAGATGCTGTGAAGTTGCAGGTGTTTATAAAATGGTGATCTTGAGATTGCCTATGGGTTAGAATAACAATGAAGCTAGGAAGGGTAGTGAATCTGAAAAGTGAGAACTAGCTTCTCTGAGGTCAGAAACTGAATTGACAGCTACAGCTTCCAAGGCCCCAACTCCCCATTCATTCCAGACACTTTGTTAGACAGTAGTACCTGAGTTCCACTGAAGAAGATAGATTACAGCCAGGCACTGGTAGCTCACTCCTGTAATCCCCAGCTACTCAAAGCCAACCCTGGACAGGAAAGTCTGTGAGACCCTTATCCCCAATTAAATATTTAAAAAATACACGCACACATGTATGCGTGCACACACAAGTGGAGCTGTGTCTGAAGTGTTCGAGCCACTAGCTTTGGGCATGAAAGCTCAGGGATGCCAGGTGCCTGTGGGTCATGCCTGTAATCCTAGCAACTAAGGAGGCTGAGATCTGACGATCGTGGTTCAAAGCCAGCCTGGGCAGGAAAGTCTGTGAGACTCTTATCTCCAATAAACCACCAAAAAGCTGGAAGTGGCGCTGTTGCTCAAGTGGTAGAGTGCTCACTTTGAGCTGAACTGCTCAGGGACAGTGCCTAGGCCCAGAGTTCAAGCCCCATGACCAACCAAAAAAAAAAAGCTCAGGGACAACATCCAGGCCCTGAGTTCAAGTCTCAGAACCTGTGTGTGTGCACTCGCACACACACACACCCAAAATAGAAAATAGATTGCTCCAGTGGTGGTATATCTAATGACTGCTCTTTTTTTGAGGATTTACCAAGCGCTAAGCCCTGGATACAAATGATCGTCACATTTTGTGCCGATGGTTCTTTGGTAAGTAGGTAATATGTCTTTCAGATGAGGAAACTCAAAGAGAAACCAAGTAACTTCACCAAGGTAATACAGGCAGGAGACAAGACTTGAAGCAGTTCTGTTCTGCTGCAGAGAGCAAGTTGTTATCACTGTCCTGTACTACTGCTATCTCCCTTCAGTCACTGCAGTACTTGGATATGGAGGACTTGCTTATCCTGTAAAAGGGCTTAATTATATCTGAATTAATCGGCTCTTCTTTTAGAAACAAATAGAAAAAATTTAAACAGTTGCTGAAGATTGAAGTCAGTTCCTGGGGTGAACTAGGAATTGTTTGCTTGTGTAGCATGCATAGGCAGTACTTGTTCTCAGTCTTTTTTTTTTTGGCTCCAGGGTGACCACATCTTTCCTTTCCTCATGTTAGGTAGTATATCTAGGTTTTTGTGGTAAGATTTCAGATATTTCAGTGCTATCAACTAGTCATTATTTAAAGCTCTGGTGAATCAAATTAAACTAACCATGTAAGTATCAACACTTTAGCTAGGCAGCTGTTAGTCCACTACAGGTAATACCAGTATAGTCAGAGCATAGAATTAATAGTGATACTGAACAAGTAAATTTTAAAATTGAAAATATTGTTATAACTTAAGGAGGTAGATCATATTATAGAAAGTAGTTAGGGGTTGTGAAACTTAGTCCTGCACTTAAAGATAGTCTCTCCAACTAAAAGCAGCTATTTGGATTGTAGTGAAAATAGCCCAGGCTTCAGAAGAGCTTCTTGAAGCTCACCTGTAATTACAGCATGCTGGAGGCTGAGGCAGAAGGATTAAGAGTTTGGGGCCAGCCTAAGCTACTTATCAAAGACCTTGTTTCTCTCACCCCAGGCCCCCAAGAAAGAGGCTCTGTCAGTCATGCTTCCTGGGAGTGTTTCATGAGTTACTTACATGTCTAGATTTGTATATGGGTTCATCCCACAATAGGGCATTATGAAAATAGTCAAGAAGTAAGTAGGGGGGGAGGGCTGGGGGGCTGAGAAGGTGGCTCAGTGGTAGAGTGCTTGCCTTGTATACATGAGGCCCTGGGTTCAATTCCTCAGCACCACATAAGCAGAAAAAGCTGGAAGTGGCGCTGTGGCTCAAGTGGTAGAGTGCTCACCTTGAGTTGAAGAGCTGAGGACAGCGCCCAGGCCCAGAGTTCAGGCCCCACGACCAGCCAAAAAAAAAAAGTGGGAGGGCTAGGGGGAAGGGGGAAGGGGGGATGGCGGTAACAGAAAAACAGGAAATTGTTTTTAGGTCAGCTGCTAATTTAAATGTATCTCCATAAAAAAGGCATTTGTAAAAAACAAGCAATTTATATTAACGTTTTATGAAAGTATAGTTATTATTCTAGTTTCTCTTAAGTTTCAAGATATACTCTATTCCTATCATGCCATTTATAAAAAACACTTCTATTTTCAGTTGGATGGATTTATTGCTCGAAACTGGGCCAATCAAAAATCAGCTTTGGGAAGTGCTCTTGATCCACTTGCTGATAAAATACTTATCAGTATCTTATATGTTAGCTTGACCTATGCAGACCTTATTCCAGGTAAGAGACGCCATCATGCGTACTTTTAAACAGAACAGGGGAGAAGGACACCAATCAGCCTAGCATTTCTCTTGAAACACACAATTTTTGTTCCCAAAATATATTTTTCAACTTAAACTGTTTCCCAAATTTTAAACTGTTTTTGCTGTCAAGCTGTTTTATAATTAATGTCCTAGTTGAAATTGTTTACAACTGAAATTTAGTAAAAATTTCACAGTGACAATTCTTAATACTCTAGAATCTTTTGGTGCTATACTTTTTTTATTTTAATTATATTTTTTTATTGTGATTAAGTGATTACACAAATTTCACAAATTTATAGTTTTGTGAGATAGTGATATTTAGTTAAAGTCATAAAACACATTCTAATTCATGGGCAAATTATTAATATTATATAAAATATTTTAATACCTAGTGCTTTGAAAGTAATGTAGTGTTTTCCTAATTATTAAATACAGTTTAATCATAATAAGAACTGTGGATTTCTGAGGATATGCATAAAATTTCACCTTACTAGACACTTAAATAATTTCCAATCATACATCCAGGTGCATTTTCTGAATATTTACTCCAGCTAGAATTTTATAATCTCTAATTGAACGTGCTTTTCTATATGCTCACTTTCTACTTCAGCTGTTTTCTCAATCAGATTTCCTTTCTCAATTCAGGCTAATCTGGTTTTTCTTCTAGAGATAGAAATAGTTCTTAGAACACAGCAGCTGCCATTTGGCCCTTGATGTCTATCATTACCAACATTGGTAGAAGAAGTGCCAGGGGTGTGTTAAACTTCCGAGTTCCCAATCCAAAGTAAAAATTAATTAAATTGTTTTTGTGTGCTGCTTTGGAAGTTAGACTTGGGGTATGAATGTGATTCTTGGGACTGAAGGGAAGGGACACTCTAATTGTAAAAATGTAAATAATTTTTAGGAAAAAAGCCTATAGAGAATTCTGTGGACATTCAGAATTTATTACATCTTTTTGTTCAGACTGGCCAGTCCCTTGTCCTGTTAAACATAGAAATTATGTCTAGCTTTTTGCATGGAATGTTGCTTCACTTAAGCCCAAGCTGGGACTTTCTTCACTATGATTCTCACTGTTTCCATTTTCTTTCCTTTATGTTACGTATTTCCTTTTGGCTAAGTGCTCCCTGTAGTGGAATGCATCCTCCAATTGTTTTCTGTAAAAGGATGCAGCCTGGCAGCAACATTTTTTGAAAGTCTAGGGCATCTAAAATGTCTTTATTCTACCCTCCATACAGTTGAACCATGCAGTGTTCTTCTTTCATTCTACTTTCCATACAGTTTTTCACTCAGAATTTTGAGGACTCTGTTCTACAGGGTCCAGATTTCATCTTGCGATAGAAGTCGTATATCACTCCCATACCTTTTCTTTTCTATGTGATTATGTTTTGAATTAGAAATCTGTAAAGGTGTTTTTTTTCCCCCTGGTTGGTCTTTTTAAATTTTTTCTCTCTTTAAATAAAACAAAACATGCTGATGCTTTATGCCTGTAATCCTAGCCACTCAAGAGGCTGAGATCTGTGAGATCTGAGGATCACACAGTTCGAAGCCAGCTGGGGCAGGAAAGCCCATGAGACTCTTACCTAAGACATATGTATTTTTTACTGTTACACTTCCTGATGTAGCTGGGATGACAGATATACTCCCATCATATCCAGCTTTTTCTGTTAAGATTAAGATCTCATGTATATTTTCCCTGGGCTGTGATTCTCCTTGAATTATACACACAGCTTCTGCATTCACTTGAATCTCCCATTTATTTTCTTTTTTCATCTTTTGATCAGCTTCTTAATTACTGAGAATGGACTAACATTCCCTTCTGTGTGTCTTAATTTTTCACTATTTTCCTTCTCATTTGTAATTTTGCTTCATTATCTTTTGTAGTCTTGATGTTAAATGCATATACATTGGACTTGTATCTTCTTGATGAATTGAATGTTTCATCCAGAAACATTTGTTACATCAGGCAGTTGCAGGTAGTAAAATGAGTCCAGAGATGTTTATTGCTAGCTCACTTGCTGAGTTAGAGCCTAGTGCACTGCCCCAAGCAATTCTGAGTTCCATGGACCTACCTTCCTGCACAGATGCAGGCTTGCGTGGTTATCATACATTATTTTTAATTTGCATGGGTTTGTTAAATTTTAATAATGTGAATTGTGTGTTCAGAGTTTACCAGGTAATGGTTACTATAGAAAAGTTTTATAAGGTTAAAAAATGTCTTATAGGGTGGGGGGAGGCTAGGAAGGGATGGGAAGGGGAAACAAAGGAGGAGGCTACAATGCTTGATAAGAAATGTACTCATTATCTTGCCCATCTAATTGTAACCCCTCTGTACAGTATTTTCACAATAAAAAATCAATAAATAATTTTAAAAAAATGTCTTATAGCTGGGCATTGGTAGCACACTCCTGTAATCCTAGCTGCTCAGGAGGCTCAGATCCGAGGATCGCCATTCAAAGCCTTGGCAGTAAAGTTCGTGAGATCTTATCTTCAATTACCACCAGAAAATGGGAAGTGGCGCTGTGGCTCAAGTGGTAGAGCACTAGCCTTGAGCTGAAGAGCTGAGGGACAGCACCCAGGCCCAGAGTTCAGGCCCCACAGCTGATCAAAGAAAAATGTTTTATAACATTATAAAAGTGCTACTAAAAATCATTGTTTGATTTTTTTTTTTCCCTAGCCTAATACAGTTATGTCTTATTTGTTCCAAATTCCTGTTGTAATAGTGCCATCTTTTAGAGGACTAGGCCAAAGATCAACAACTATAACCAGTAGAGACTTAAAGATTAACTTCATAATTAATTGGTGAGATAGTATTCAAAATGCAGAGCCAATGGAATGTCAGAACTGCAGGACACCATAAATCAGTCTCAAATAATGTATGCATCATTTGAAGGTAGTAAAAAAGAAATATATGTGATCCTTTTATTTGGTAGTTAAAACAAGTTGAACCGAGTTTTGGGGTTCTTATTTTTGTTTTCTGAATTTTTTTTTCAGTACTAGAGTTTGAATTCAAGGCCTTGAGCCTGTCAGGCAAGCACTGAGCACTTGAGCAATGTGCCCACTCCCTTTTTGCTTTTGCTGATTTCAGATAGGATTTCACATTTATGTCTTAGCTGGCGTGGAATGTGACCTTCTTTGTGTTTCCCACATAGGACAGGCATGCACTGCTGTGCCCAGCTTTCTCCCCCCCCCCCCCCCCCCCCCCCCCTTCACTGATTGAGATGGAGTCTTAAACTTTTTGCTCAGGCTGTCTTTGAACCAGAATCCTCCCAGTTTCCACTTCCCAAGTACTTAGGATTATAGCTATGAGTCACTACACTCTGCTGACCTGGATTCTGGCTTTTTAAAAATGTTTTTCAGAGGAGTGCCTGTTGATCATACCTGTAATCCTAGCTGCTAAAGAGGCTAATATCAACAATGGTTTGAAGCCAGCCTAGGGAGAAAAGTTTAAGACACTCCATTTGCAAATATCCAGCAGGGGCTGGAGGCATGGCTTACTTGGTAGAGGCCAATTAGAAGCAAGCAAGCCAAGTGAGAACATGAAGCACTGAATCCAAGCCCCAGAACAACACCAGCAGCAAATTCTTAGCTGAGCTCCTATGTATGGCCAAGCATTCACCAGGCTCCATTTCAACTAATGGCTGGGCTTGGTAGCACATGCCTAACCCAGTTCCTCAGGCTGGACTTGAGAATCAGAGTTCCATGCAACCCCCAGCAAAAAAAGGCCAGAAGATCTCATCTCAGCAGAAAAAACTGGATGTGGTAGCACATGTCATTCATCCCAGCTACAGTGGGAAGTGTGGCTAGGAGGGTGAACCAGACTGGCTCAAGTGGTAGGGAAAGCTCCTGCCTAGCAAAAAGGAACACTTTTTTTTTTTTTTTCTTATAAAAGATACAGGTTTGTGGGTAGAACTTCCTATAGTAGAGAAGGATATAGTCCTATGAGGGGCACCCTGCAATGACAGGAATATCCTCAGACTTGGATATATGGAACATTTGGTTAGGGTTTCTCAACTGGTAAAGTCAAATGTGCCAAGTCAGTGCAAATATTCCAGTATCTGAAAAACATTGAACTCTGTCCTAAATACTTTGGATAAGAGATACTCAGCCTATAGGAAAACTATTGAGAAGTTGAATTCATCAAATGCCTGGGCAAGGTGGAGAGTACTGGATGCTGAGGGAGGAACTGGTTAGACAGGGGCAAAAATAGATCTGTTTCTGTACAGATAATACATATAACAAATGTACTTCTTGTAGTGTAAAATGCAGATGTAGGTATTTAAGCTCCCAAGACTCTTCTGTTTTACGTCTTTTTAAATCTTCTTTCCTTATCATCTCTTTCCATTTTTCCCTCGTGAGTATGGTGAACATTTCTCCCAACTCAAAAAGATGATGAGAAAGTAACAAGGGAGAGAAGAGGGGAGCAGGGTCTAGGGAAAGCAACAAAGGAGGCAAACAAGGATTGTCATTCAAGGTGTCATTCCAAAGCTTAGTCTGTACTTAACTTTCATTTTAAAAAAGATTATGAAGCTGGGCACTGGTAGCTCACATCCGTAATCCAGTTCAAAGCCATCCCAGACAGGAATGTGTAGGAGATACTTCAATAAACTATCTCTTCCCCCATCCCCCTTACAAAACAAAAAACAAACAGAAGTGGAGCTCTTCTGGCTCAAATGGTAGAGAGCTGGCCTTGATTCAAGGACAGTAGGACAGTGCCCAGGCCATGAGTTCCAGCTCTAAGACACACACACACACACACACACACGCACACACACACACACAGAGGTTCTTACTGCAGAAGGATACTAAATCAATAAATAAATTTTCATTATGAAAAACATCAGTTTGTGGTAAAACTAAAATAAGGTTTTATTATAGAAATATGTATATAATTTTCAAAGTCCTTATTATATTTTTTTTGTATTTGATTTTCAGTTCCACTTACTTACATGATAATTTCAAGAGATGTAATGTTGATTGCTGCTGTTTTTTATGTCAGATACCGAACTCTTCCAACACCCGTGAGTTTGTTTCCGAAAATACTCTTTTTGCATTACTCGCAACTTAAAGCAAAAATTTAAAGATCTGTTCTACTATATGCTATTTAACTTGCAAGAATAATTCATGGCAGTTATTACTGATTTCTTAACAGGAGTTTTATAGCCAGAAGTTTTATACCTTGCTGACTGAATTGCACTGAGATAGTTATTTAGTGAACATGTGACTAGTCAATATTAAAAGGACTTAGAAGCAATATTAAAAGGACTTATGTCATCTTTGGAGGTGTTTCACAGAGCCCCAAGCCCTGTTGCTGTCTTACTAACCTCTAGCCTCTGTGATGGATTGAGAGCTGGTTTTTAAAATCCACGGGGTGTGAGCATGAGTGGTTTGCTGATAACACCCTTTCATTGGTTCTGTGAACATTTTGAGTGCCTAAGCATCACATGGTAACCACTATTGCTTTCCAGTCCAGTAAAAAATAGAACTTATGAAAGAAATAAGAGGTAAAGAAGTTTCATTGAATTTATTTAATAAAAGATATGGGCTGGGAAGGTGGCTTAGTGGTAGAGCGCTTGCCTTGCATGCCTGAGGCCCTGGGTTCGATTCCTCAGCACCACATAAGCAAAAAGAAAAAAGCCGGAAGTGGCGCTGTGGCTCAAGTGGTAGAGCGCTAGCCTTGAGCTGAAGGGCTGAGGGACAGTGCCCAGGCCCAGAGTTCAGGCCCCACGACCAGACCCAAAAAAAAAAAAAAAAAGATATGTGGTTAAGCAAACTTTTTGATAGCTATTAGAATTTTATGGGTAATGGAGGAATGAAAAAATTATAAATTGTAAAGACTTATTTTCAGTAGCCTATGTATGATTTGAAAAGAATGTCAATACCACTCATTTAATATAAGGAAGATGCATGTAAACGGCCAGGCATATATGGTAAATATTCAGCAGCTGTTACATCTATAAATAGCAGTGTTTGTTTTAAACTTGAACAATAAATTGAAACTCTCTCGTTCTCTTGTCTTTTTGCCAGAGAACACTAGCTAAGTATTTCAATCCTTGTTATGCTACTGCTAGGTTAAAACCAACGTTCATCAGCAAGGTAAGAGACACATGCAATGTTCCAGTTATTCCTTTGTGGATTTTTTATAATGAGTGTAAAACTTGTAGAGAAGAGTATTGAAACTAAGACAAATTTAAAGACATTGACTGGAGAGGATAGAGATTGGGTTAGGAAGACAACTTTAACCCAAGTCTCTTGTCCTTTTGTTTTTGGACCCTAAATACAACATTTTACCTTGTGTTTGTGGTCTGAGCGTTTAAGCCTTCAATTAGATAATAGGTCCAGAAAAGTAGATGGGAGTTGAAATGCAATTGCATAAGGAGTTTTCTCTCTCCCTCCCTACAGTAAAAATACCAAGTAATTATAAAGTTGTTTCATACAAAGATTGGCTTTCCTGCAAAAGGGGGTTGGAGAGTTTTATTTCCTAATAAACAAGTATTGTTCTTAAGTTGTTCATTCTGCTTCCTTGAGTCTTTCAGGATAACAACTGTACACAAAATATTTTGCTCATAAAGGGATACTACAAATGCCTCTTAATCTGTATTCCTTTCCTCAGAAGTCTTGGTGTAGTTGCTAAGTCACCCTTTTGACTTGGCCCTTATGACAGATTTAACAGATGGGAGAGGCTGAACATTTGTGGAGCAGAGGAATTGTTGCTTTTGTAGGAGTAGGCCTCTCTGTGTGTTACATAGGAGCTGCTTTGGCTTCATGTGACTTGTATTAAGCACAGCAGTTTGGGTGTAGCACTCCATAGAAAGTAGAAAATGCACCAAATGAATTCTCATTCTTGTGGGAAATCCTCCAGACAAATTGTATCATGTACTTTCAAAAATACAGTGGGATGGATCCTTGTTAATTTGGTTGTATGTGGATAATTGAACTAAGGTGCTTCTTTACACACATCACCCACTGTTGCATATTCACAAACTTCCACAGCATGCTTCTCATGATCTGTGGATGGTGTTCTTAGACTGGAACTAGACCGGATCTGCTTCTGTTTTCTCTAATCAGTGCTGTCTTTTAGGGGTAGGGAATCCTGCTTATTATCTCCAGAGGCTTCAAAGATGTAATACATTTTGGAGATGACCTTCCTAATACTACTATCCCCATGGTCCCCGTACTAAGTAGGAATTGAACTTGGGGTTTACTTTATGAGCATCTTACTTAGGGATGACAGGCACAAACCACTGTGCCTGGACATTGAGTAAGATAGAATCTTATGAACTTTTATTTTCCAGCTAGCCTTGAACCTATTACCCTTGATCTCCACCTTCCAAGTAGCTAGAATTAGAGGCTTGCTTGAGCATTTGGTGCCTAGTGTTTTTCAGGTGGTTTTTTTTTGGTCATTTGTGGAGCTTGAACTCTGGGTCTGGAACTGTCCCTGAGCTTTTTTTCAAGGCTAATGCTCTACTACTTTGGGCTATTAGCACCATTTCTGATGATCTGGTGGTTAATTGGAGATAAGAGCCTCATGGACTTTCCTGGGCTGGCTTTGGAACTGTGATCCCCAGATCTCAGCCTCCTGAGTAGCTAGTATTACAGGCGTGAGCCACCAGCACCCAGCTGTATTTCAGTTTTTTAACTCATAGGACTTCACAGGTAGACAAGTAAAAAAGGATCTTTGGATAAGGCACCAGGAAAAGAATTTTGCAGTATTATTGAACTGCTGTGGAACTCAAGGTAGTAGTATTTCTGCTAGCTGCCGTTACCCTCACTGTGAAGGACAGCTGTGTGCACAGGTGGGTCTGAGTGAGGCTGACCCTTGGTGTCCTCACCCGGGAACGTTCACTGCTTTGGCTATTGCATTCTAAGAGTACATCTTAAAACAGGATCCACTTGACACTGACATTCACTTCTTTTTTTTTTTTTAAGGTAAATACAGCAGTTCAGTTAATCTTGGTGGCAGCTTCTTTGGCAGCTCCAGTTTTCAATTATGCTGACAGCATTTATCTTCAGATATTGTGGTAAGCTAAATAAATTACTTTGAACATGTCAATCAGATGGATTTTTATTTTCTGTACCTATCCTGGGGCTTGAACTCAGGACATAGATGCTGTTCCTGAGCTTTTTTACTAAAGCTAGATTATTCTACCACTTGAGCCACAGCTCTGCTTCCGACTTTTTGGAAGTTTGTTGAAGTTTGCTGGAGATAAGAGTCTCACAGACTTTTCCTGCCTGGGCTGGCTTTGAACCACAATTCTTAGAGCTCAGACTCCTGAGTAACTCAGATTACAAGCATTAGCCACCAGTGCCTGACTTATGTAAGATTTTTGTTTGTTCTTTTACCTCTTTTGGTACTGGGGATTGAACCCAGGATATTTGCTTTGCCACTGAGCTATATCCTAGCCCTTATATACGATTTTATTTACATTATGGTTCCATAGTTAAAGCTTTTAGTTTGACAACCAAATCCTGTTTGTTTCCTTTCATAAAAGGTGCTGTACAGCTTTCACCACAGCTGCATCTGGTTATAGCTACTATCATTATGGTCGGAAAACTGTTCAGGTGATAAAAGGCACATGAAAATCACCCACCAGCATCAGCAAGGAAGCAGTGTACATCATCGGCAGCAGCCCCAGTGGAAATCTACAGGAGTTACCCTGTTTTGGTGTTCAGCTTGAAAAGGGACTTGTCAGAACAAACCATGTCATCAAAATTGAAGTAGTGTACATTGAAAATAAGCTTGATCATGGGCATGTGCAGAATTTCCAGTGTATTTTTAAATACAAATAAAACTGTAATTTAGAATTTTTAATCTTAGCTTTCTTGAATAATTTATAATTGACTTATTCCAATTATTGTCTGCCTGTTTTATGTTTGGTTTTTTTTTTTTTTTAAAGAAATCAGCATGGAGACTGAAGAGTTGACATTTCTCTAAGTGGAATTTCTGTTGTTTTCAAAGCAGTGGGAATATATTATCTTACACGACTTCATTATATGTTTGAGTGTTTTGAGTTTTAGGTCTGTAGACACAGGCATAGTTCATGTGGTTCACATTAGATCATCTAGAATAATGAGAATAAAGCTAGCTTAACTTTATGAAGTTGTAAAGAGATTTAAAATGTAGTAAGTTTTAAATCTGAAAATAAGATCAAACAAGATCGAAGGTGTTTGAGTTCATCATTAGTCTTCCAACCTCTCAGGTACCCTATAATTTATCAGGATAAGAACAAAGGCAGTTGCAATGTGAGAACATATTTATCACTCTGCATCTGAAAGGCAGTGAGTTACATCTCGCCTTCCCACTGTGTTTCTAAGGTAGCAATGTTTATGATTTTGAAACCTGTACTCATATGTTGTGTAAATAATACAAAACTGTATATTTTTCAAAGGTTTTTTAAACTTTGGGCAATATTCTTTTGTTAAGATGTTAAGGAATAAAAGCTCGAAAAAAAAATTTTCAACTTGGGTTCTGTGTTGCATGTTTATCTGCTCTTCTGTGTTTCATGACATCCATGTAAAAGTAATTGGTTTAGGATCTTCCAACTTAGAAGACACTGCTGTCCCTCCTATTTGGGTAGAGGGAGATACAGGTAGAGCTTCATAGGAGGGCCTCTTAGCAGTAGCAACTTTGCTGCCCATTGTCTGGTTGATCCCAAGTGGAGTGCAGAATCAAACAGTGAGATTTTGCCCTCCCTCTCCCCTCTCTGAGAGAATATGCACTCTCAGCTGGAAGCACTAAAGGCCAGAGCCTGCTGCTGAGCCATCCAGGAGGGTGCGCTCAGGGAATCTGCACTAGTGAAGTATGAGCCCATGAAAATGTTTTAAAAGGGAAGATTGGAGCAGGGTATTGGTGGCTTATGCCTATAGAAGTAGCTACTTGGGAGGCTGAGATTTGAGGATTGTGTCTCAAAGCCAGGAAAATCTATAAAACTTATCTCCAATAAACTACTTAGAAAGCTGGAAGTTGCATTGTAGCTCAAGTTGTAGAGCACTAACCTTGAGCGCAAAGTAGCTAAGGGGCAGCGCACAGGCCCTAAGTTCAAGCCCCAGGACTGGCAAAAAAAGAAAAAAAATGAGGAAGACTTGGGAGTAGTCAAGGGGAATGTTAGAACTTTGTGCTTTGTTATGTATGACTTAGTGTTGATACCATCTGGAGGGACATATGGGTTGTGCCTATAAGGCAGGCTGACTGTGGTAAATAGACTTTTTCTTCCTATACCTCTAGGAAAATGGTCCAAGTCTTGAATACTGAATTGTTATGCAACACAAATTCTGCTAGTTTATAAAACATACTGAAACTATGTTAAATTGGGCATGTTCAAATGTACATTTGTGCATATGGACTCAAGACATGATACATGATTCCAGTGTGTGCAGACTCAGTAAGGTGAAACATTTGGTATCATCTAATATCTGTATGAGGATTTAGCACTAATTCATCGCATTTTGGGATTTTAGTAATTTCAAGCAGAAACAGATCCTTTAAATTGCCTCATCCAAGTCTCTGTGATGTACTTAGGACTACACACTAGAATTTTGAAAAGTCTTTTCAAAGCATCAAATGTGCCAGGTACCAGTGGCTCACGCTTGTAATCCTAGCTACTCAGGAGGCTGAGATCTGGGGATTGTTGTTCGAAGCCAGCCAGAGTAGAAAAGCCCCCATAGACTCTTCAATTAACTACTCAAAAAACTGGAAGTGGCACTGTGGCTTAAAATGGTAGAGCGCCAGACTTGAGCCAAAGAGCTCAGAGACAGTGCCCAAGCCCCACCACCATCACCCAAAAAAAACAAAACAAAACAAAACCCTCAAATGTCTAAAAGTACTGCTCAGTCTTCATGCCAAACTTGGCTATGCTGTTTCATATACAGTGTTCATGCTGCAGCACGATGTTCATGCTGCAGTGTGGAAGCAAGATACCTGGGATTCAAACGACATCCTTTTTTTTTTTTTTTGGGGGGGTCCGGTCGTGGGGCTTGAACTCTGGGCCTGAGCGCTGTCCCTCAGCTCTTCAGCTCAAGGCTAGCACTCTACCACTCAAGCCACAGCGCCACTTCCGGCTTTTTTCTTTTTGCTTATGTGGTGCTGAGGAATCTAACCCAGGGCCTCCAGCTTGCAAGGCAAGCACTCTACCACTGAGCGACCTTCCCAGCCCTCAAACGACATCCTTAGGATACAAATCAGTGCTGTTGTAGGTTGAATTGTATCATCCCAAAATGGTACCATGAATGGGACCTTTGGAAGAAATGCCAAGAGATGGCTGAGGTGTAAGTAGGGGTCATGTCTGCAAGCCAAGATGCTCCAAGGATTGCCACCAAGCATCAGAAGCTAGGAAAGGGGTGTGCACACATTCGACTCTCCCTCAGCCTGTGAGAGGCACCAGCCTTGCTGATTAGTCTTGATTTCAGGCTTCTGGCCTGAGGTGGTGTAAGAAGTTTCTGTCGTTTGAAGCCTCTTAGTTTATGGTCAGTTTTTTAATAGCCACGGGAGAATTATTAACAAATCCTAAGTAGAACATTTGAAATCTAGAAATATAGCTCTAATGGCAATTTTATAGACTTATGAAGGTGTTGGAACCCCGAGCCAAGATGCTCTGACTTCTGGCTAGACCCTGAAGTTCTCTTTTGCCTTTCACCCTAATTGAAAATAATCAAAAATTTTTGTTTTAAAGTTCCTGCTGTGAGTTTGTTAGGCTTCCTTAAGAAAAAAAAGTATTCATTATGTAGTACCTTTGTCAGATGAAGTAAAATAAGTGCCTTTTAAGCAAAACGGCCATTTCCTGTGTCACAAGTATTCTCAGAAGATCTGTTTTAAGCGTAAAGCTGAAGTCCATGTTGTGCCATATTGTGAAATGCAAGTAATAAACCCAGAAGGCCCAAGGAAAACCACTGGTTGCCCCAGAACATACTAAGGCTGGAGCGTGACCATAAAAGAACTTGGCTGTAAGATGAGAAGAAAAAGTTATCACTTCCCACATGGGGAAGAGCTTGGATTGTTAATGCTCTGTTTATCATCTACTTCTAGATTATTCTATTCGATCAAGGGGCACCAACTGCTTCAAAAGATGAGAGTGCCAGGAGCCAATGGGAGTGTCTGGTATTCACCATCAGGTTTCTGGAACGGTGAAGTTGAAGAGAAGGTTGAGCTGGGCACTGGCAGCTCACACTTGGTAAATCCTAGCTACTCAGGAGACTGAGATCTGATGATTATGGTTCCAAGCCAGCTGGGCAGGAAAGCCCATGAGACACTTATCTCCAATTAACCACCAGAAGGCCAGAAGTGGCACTATGGCTCAAAGTGGTAGAGCACTAGTCGGGCAAAAATTGCTCAGGTACAGCACCCAGGCCCCAAGTTCAAGCCCCATGACCAACAAAAGAAAAAGAAAAAAAGAGAAAGAAAATGTTCCTTGGCCAGAGAAGCAGCATGGCTTCACCTGTGCCCTCAACCTACTGGCTTTGGGGGAATTAGAGGTGAGGGGGCCAGTTTGGGATCCTCTAGCTTCCTTTCTGCATGCAGATCCAGTTCCACTAGAAGGGAGCTGGTCTGGGAGTTTAGTGGTTTGTTGTTTGTTCTGGCTGCCAAAGATCAACCCAGGGCTTCATGCTTCGCTAGGTAAGTGTTCTACTACTGAAATACATCCCTAGTAGCTCAAAAAAACTGGTGGTTTTTGAAAGCCACCAGTGGTGTGTCGGAGTTTTGCCTGTTGAGAGTGTGGCATTGTCGGCAGAGACACAGGGCTAGCACCAGGGTGCTGACCAGAAGCAGGCTGCTGGTGGCACACAGGCCAGCGAAGATGCCCATGGAGCTGGGCCTGGTGGTGAAGGTGGTACATGGCCTCCTCCAGCCCAAGGCTGGCAGTGGACTCAGGCCTGCCCGATTGGCGGCCAGCACGCACACATGGTACGTGGTGCCTGGTGAGAGCCCATACAGGGGGTGTTGCCTGGCGGTGGCATAGATGTCCACCACCGAATGGTTCTCTGCCGTGCCTTCTGCAGAGTAGTGGATCTGGTATCCAAGCACCACTGAATTGGGGGCGCACCAGTGGATGAGGGCTGATGAGTCTGTCATCTCCAACACGGCCTGTAGCTTCGGAGGGTCTGGGATGGTGTCTTCCCTGCTGAGGCCAGGGCAGAGGCACCGGGAGCGCCTCTGCAGCTCTGCACACGGGGTCTGCAGATGCTTGCAGGGATGGTAATCGCAAAGAACATTCTGGTCAGCGGCTCTCAGCTCTTCCTTGCTCCCCTCCTCTTCCTCATAGTCATCATCCAACAGGAAGACTGGAATCTCAACCTCCTGAGTACTCAGATGAGGACCCTGCGTCCTCTGGTGAGGCTGAGATGTGCTTGTGGACTTCCCTGAGGTAGGGAATGGATCGCGGTGTTTGCCGGTCAGAGGCAGAGAGGCAGGCGAGGTACCAGGCTCAAGGCTGAGCCTGTCAGCATGCTCTGCACGCTCCAACCCTGCGGTGCTGGCAGCTCTGGGTGGATCATTCCTGTTGTTATCACTTGCTGTGGAGTTGGTAGTGGATGGGGTGGTCCCTTTCCCAGCATCCTTGAGCATCCACGAAGCTTGTGTGAGGGGAGCCACAGTGTGGGACGGGGCCTTGGTGACACTCTGCTGACCTCCTGTGGGCTGAACAGAGCGGTCTATGCTCTGCTCAGTGGAGAGACCCTGTGTTGAAGATATGTAGGCTGAGCTGTGGAAGGGATGAAGGGCGGAAGCCAGGGGGGTGGTGCTTTGGCTGGACTTGCACATACCAGGCAGTTGGGAGAGGGACACGGGAGCTGAGAAGGGACTTTCAAATCCCACAGCTGGGGTGCACACCGTGTCTGCAGCCCTACGGGGGAAACCAACCAGTTAGAGGATCTCTGGCTTTGGGGCTGGATAATGTTCAAGGTGGGTGTCCTCTTCTGCCAAGTCCTATTGTCATGGCTCTGCCAGGCACCATCTAACACATACTCAACATCTTCCTGACTCTCAGGAAGCCTTTGGAGGAAGTTCCTGACATTACTCTCATTGAGTGAGAAGAAGAAAACTGAAGTCTACAAAATGAAACTGACGGCCCAAGATACCATGGCTAGCAAATGGCAGGGCCTAAACCTGGGGCGTCCACATCTAAAGATAGTCTAAGGATAGGCTACTGTTTCGTTCTCTCCTGTCTGCCTCCTGACAAGAACTGATGGTAACAGTCACACTACCATTAGCTACTATCTCTGGGCCATTATGTGCCAGGCATGATTTCTTCATACTTCGCTGCAACAGCCAATATAATGTGTCTAACCTTACAAAATAGTCTTTGTTATCTCCCATTTTATAGACAAAGAAGTAGAAGTACAGAGAAGCTGTGTAATGCAGCCAGGTCAACCGTACTAAGTAGAGTGAAGCCAGCCTCTCTAGCTCTAACCAGAGCTTTCCATCTCTTCTTTAGTACTCTATGAGGCCTCTGTCTGCAAAGGAACAGGGAAGCTTGCCTTTAGAAGCAAAGTGAGGTGTGGGAATGAAGCCTGAGCATCACATCTCAGGTAAGCTTGGGTAAGAGGTGAAAAAAAGCCCTTCACGATGGAAGGGTTGACATGTAAAGAGAAGTGATTAGCTGGTGGAGCTGGTCTGTGTGTTCATGACAGACAGCGCTCCAAGCACCCCAGATCTATCTTTTCTTATGCCAGCCTGCATGTGGCTCTTCCACTAGACAGACAGACAGACAGACAGACAGACAGACAGACAGACACATACACACACACACATACACACACACACACACACACACACACACACACACACACACACACACACACACACACACACACACACACACACACACACCTCTTCCAGCTAACTGCCTTCATCAGAATTTTTGGGGGGCTTGGAATATGGCTTGGTGTAGAGTGCTTACCTACCATGCAACCCTGGGTTTGATTCCTCAGCACCACATAAACAGAAAAAGCCAGAAGTGGCGCTGTGGCTCACGTGGCAGAGTGCTGGCCTTGAGCACAGAGAGGCTCAGGGACAGTGCCCAGGCCCTGAGTTCAAGCCCCAGGACTGGCAAAAAAGAAAAGAATTTTTTTCATGTCCCACGCTTCCATGAGGGATATCCTGTCCAACAAATGCCCAGCGTGTTCTGTGAGCAAGGCACAAGCTCGGACAATTCAGCTTTCCAAGGTTAACCTTCACCCCCTCAGCCATCCACTTTGTAAATTTGTTACCTGCTTAGGAAAGTTCTGTTTGCATCCATGAGGAGCCAGGACAGCTCACAACTGCAAATGAGAGGGTTGCCAAAGAGGCTGACAGATAGACCCTGGGAGGAATTCACCGTCCAAGGAGGAAAGGAACTCAAGTTACAGCTGAAACACAAAAAGAATCCACCATCAAACTTTTATAATTCAGTTAATAATGTTCTAGAGAGGCATGGTGGCATCATGGGAAATACATTTCATCATAGATAAAAGGATATTGATTTGGCTAAAACTGCCATATCCTGGGACCTTTCTTTTCCATCCCTCTCTCCCTCCCTCCCTGCATCAATTCCTTCCTTCCTTCCTTCCTTTCTTCCTTCCTTCCTTCCTTCCTTCCTTCCTTCCTTTCTTCTTCCTTTCTTCCTTGTGGGGGTTGAACTCAGGGCCTGGGCACTGTCCCTGAGACTCTTTGTGCTCAACACTAGCACACTGCCACTGTTACTTCCAGATCTCTCTCTCTTTTTTTTTTTTTTTTTGGGTCCGGTTGTGGGGCCTGAACTCTGGGCCTGGGCGCTGTCCCTCAGCTCTTCAGCTCAAGGCTAGCGTTCTACCACTTGAGCCACAGCGCCACTTCCGGCTTTTTTCTTTTTGCTTATGTGGTACTGAGGAATCAAACTCAGGGCCTCATGCATGCAAGGCAAGCGCTCTACCACTGAGCCACCTTCCCAGCCCCCCAGACCTCTTTCTTTTGCCACTCCATTTAGTAAATATTAGCCTTCCTGTCACATAAGGATAGTACCCTGTAACGACCAGTTATTTCAAAAACATTCCATAATGAAGAAGTTATTTATAAATGTAAATGTCTTCACAAAAGTAGATGTTGATTTTACAGACCACTACTGGGGATCAAATCCAGAGTCCCATCTAGCGAGGCAAGCATTCTTCCACTGGGCTACACTGCATCCAGCTTTGCTGGATGTGTGCTATTCTAGTTGGACCCTAGCTGCTGGCACACAACCCCAGACTTTTGGAAGATACCATACTCACATGCATCAATTAGCTCTTGCAAAATACAGAATAACACCAAAACTTAGCAGTTGAATATTAAGTACTTTATTTTCTTTCCCATGATTCTCTAGGTTAGCTTTCTGGCTCTGAATGGCTTTATGTAGACAGAGCTGTAACTGAGTGTGCACCAAGACCTTTCTTCGTGCACCAGCTGGGAGGCCAGCCTAAACCTCACATGGGAGTGGGGCTCCGACAGCAAGAGAAGGTAAGCCCCAGTGCCTATGTGCTTCCTAGTGTCTGCCTACATCGCATTTACTAATATCCCACTGGCTTGTACACAGCACATTTTGATGAGAGGGAGCTTCAGTCACAATGCAGATGAGTGTGCCCATAAGAATGGGATGGATTATCGTGGCCTTTTTTTGTTTTTAATGGCCGACAATCTGCAGTAGCAGGTCCTCTCCTGGCTGTCTCCTCTTTCTTCTCTAGAGTCCCATAAAATGTTTGGCTGCAACTCTCTCCATTCCCTGCGTTTCTTGACTTTCTCAGATTCAGACAGATTCACACACTCAGAACTCATCATGTACAGCAGAAGCTACACTTTACTTTTCCTGTCTCTTCTAGCCATGGCTTTCCTCCATCTGCCTGCAAGCCTGTTCCCTCAGGGGCAGATGCAAATGTTCTCTGCGAGGAAGGAAATAACACCCAGGCACCCAGATCTGCTCTATTGCTACTGGCCTGTGCGCAGGCGCCACCGGCCTCTCTGGAACACTAGTTCCATGTGTGGGGGCCAGTTATTCACTTTGTTTGTTTGTTTCTTTACTTTTGTTCTAGCACTAGGGCTTGAACTCAGAGCCTGAGTGCTTTCCCTTTACTTTTTTGCTCAAGGATGGTGCTCTACCATTTGAGCCATAGATCCACTTCTGGCTTTTTTTGGTATTCATTGGAGATAGTGCTTTTCTTTCTGGGCTGGCTTCAAAGTTCAATCCTCAGATCTCAGTCGCCTGAGTAGCTAGGATTACAGGCGTGAGCCACCAGTATCCAGTGTATGTGGACCATTTATATTGAAACTTGAGATATGCCCACGTGGATAAGCTTGGATTTACCTTCAGAGCTATGGTTCAATTGTGTCCTTCCCAAAGAAGCCTCTCTGATCCAATCTGTTGGGTCATTATGTCTAGCTGCATGTACCTCTGCTATTGATCACAGTGGATCATGATCATTGCAGATGTCTGCTGCCTTTACTGAACAGTGAGCTCTTTGAAGAAAGTGGAGTCCATGTCATCATCTCCACCACCACCATCATTATCACCATTAGCATCCACATCACCACCATCATTATTTTACCATCATTAACTTCCTCATTATCATTGTCATCCACTACCATCACCACTATAGCCATGATCACTAGTTCTGTTTGACTCCTGCTATATGCTAAAAACAGAGTTAAGTACTCTACACATACCATCCCCCTTTCCCTTGTGAGAAACCCCAAAGTGAAATGCTTTTGCTATATCTCTGACACAAAACGAAATGCCATGTTTGGATTCTGACACCTCATATAGTTTTTGATTTTTTTTTTTTTGGTTTATAACAGCACTTGAACTCAGGGCTCTGCATGCTCACCCATATTTCTTGCTCACAGCTAGAGCTCTACCCCTGAGCTATGCCTCTAGTCCAGCATATTTTGCTGGTTAATTGGAGATAGAGTCTCATAGGCTTTTCTGCTTAGACTAGCCTTGAACCACATCCTCAGGTTTCAGCCTCTTAAGTGGCTAGGGCTATAGGTGTGAGCCACTGACACCAGGCTAGTTTTTGGATATTTTTTTGTAGGTAATTTTTTTTTTTGTCGATGGTGGGGCTTGAACTCTGAGCCTGGGCGCTGTCCCTCAGCTCTTCAGCTCAAGGCTAGTGCTCTACCATTGAGCCACAGCACCACTTCTGGATTTTTCTGCTTATGTGGTGCTGAGGAATTGAACCCAGGGCCTCATGCATGCAAGGCAAGTGCTCTACCACTGAGCCACCTTCCCAGCCTTTATTTTTTTTTAAAAAAAATCAAGCTCAAAGAAGTCAGAGGCAGAGATCCAAAAGCACTTTTCCCTCAAAACATTGTGTACTCAGCAGATAACTATAAAGGGGAGAATAAATTAATGGCTCTGGTTTGCTTTGAATAACTTGATCATTTTTAAAACACAAATTCCATCTTTAGTAATGGCATTTAGTAGAACGTAACTGGCAAGACCTGCCCTAGACTTCTCGGGGATTTTCTGCCAATAGCAATGCTTCATCCAGTGGATTTCTGCAAGACCCTAGTGCTTTCATAACACTCACTGGACTCTGGAAGGAGGGAGGTGGAGGTGGGACGTATTCCTAACTCTTTCCTTATTGCAAAATGTCAAGTGCTAAGTATTTTTGTTGGCTGGCTCAAAAATCTCAATGCAGTTTCTATTTCTAATATTTTACACATGGCCAAAGGGGTAGGGGGAGTTATGGACAAAGAAAAAGCTCTTGAACAATAGGATGTTCAAAATGGGCCTGTTTTGGGCTCAGATTCAACAGAGACCACACAAGGCAGAGGGCACTGAGCAAGATGCTGAGGACGATCACATCCTAAGTGAGCTGCTATATATAGCTCTCGGTGCAGGACAAGCGAAGAGCCTTGAGAGGGGGTTTTGGTGGCCAGGTATCCATCTTTCAGCTCCATGAGAAGTGGTCAGAAGGTAGAAGAGGCTTCGTAGTGAAGACTGATTTGGAGGTTCCCCAAATTTCCACCCCAAAAACACAATATAGGGGCTGTGGGGGAGGGGGAGGGGGGAAGCTGCTTTCCTGTATGCAAATGAAGCCTCCTCAGTCTTGGAGATCACCCTCAGGACTATGGCTGTCCCTTGGAACTTGTGAGACACAAGGGATTTTGACTCAGCCATGAGAAATCTGAAGGTAAGAGGCAGGTCGGACCTAGCAGGAAGAGAGGGGAATTGGCTGGGGGACTGACAGCAAGACAGAGGTGGCTGCTTCCTGGGGTCCAGATGTGGGCCCCAAGGGGTCATATTCAAGGAATGCTACCTTTTCTGTTAGAAGTCCAATCACATCATTGTTGCTCCTGGTCATGAGAGTGAGTTTGGGAATACGCTGGACACTCAGTAGGCCTTTCTCTCATCTTTCCTGAGCAAACCCTGGGTGAGAGTAATCTTGTCTAACATGTGGGGGAAGGGTGGATCCAGTAGAAAGAAGGCTGGTGTCCCCACTATTTCTAATGCTATGGCAAATTTCTCAGCCTGGGCTTTAGAGAGGGAGAATGCAGTCAAATAGCCCATGTATGTATATCCTACAAAAACTAAGAAGAGTGAGGGAAGGTAAGGAGGGATGGGTGAGAATGTTGAAAGGCGTGACATCTGATCAAGCTAGAGTATATTCACAAACTGCCTCGTTAAATGGCAACTCCTGTGTACAACTACTTACAGATAATTTAAAAAATGGGGGGCTGGGAAGGTGGCTCAGTGGTAGAGTGCTTGCCTCACATGCATGAGGCCCTGGGTTTGATTCCTCAGTACCACATAAACAGAATAGGCCAGAAGTGGAGCTGTGGCTCAAGCGGTAGAGCACTAGCCTTGAGCTGAAGAGCTGAGGGACAGTGCTCAAGGCCCAGAGTTCAGGCCCCACAACTGACAAAAAAAAAGGGGGGAGGGACTTGGAATTTTAATGTTACTATGGACTGAACAGAGTTGTTTGTTACTAGGTTTTTTTTGTTACTAGGGTGGGCCTGCTTAAGGCAGTTTCCCAGAAGGTGAGGAAGAGAGGATTTGGAAGAGTAATGGAAGGTGTGGTTTGTTCTATAAAAATCTAATCCAGAGTAACAGGAGTAAAGCAAAAATATACCAGACATACCATTAAGACCTGTCTTAGAAACACTTACTTCTGGAGTAGAAGCATCTGCAGGCAAGGAGTGTCTTGAAAGATGTGTGTGTAGACAGAAGAAAGTGCTGGGGAATTTTGACAATCTAGCAGCCGCAGGTTAGGGGTCATCTTAAAAATGTCTCCCTCCAGGATTCGCAGCCTGGGCATCTTCCTCAGATAGAGGGAGGTGAGCATTGGCAGGTCTCTGATCCATCCAGACTCAACTAAAACACAGGAGGGGAATATACCCATTACTCAGACACAAACCTAGGAGGCCAACATAGCATTAAAGAAACAACCAGAACAATAGCCTAAAAGAAGGCCAGTATCAGCGTTAGCAGCTTTAGGGATCTCAAAAGCATACCACTGAAGCTAAAAAGTCCCTCAGGGATGATTGGTCCCTTCTTTCTTTCTTTCTTTCGCCAGTCATGGGTCTTGAACTCTGGGCCTGGTTGCCATCTCTGAGCTCTTCAGCTCATAGTGCTCTACCACTTGAGCCACAGCACCACTTCTGGTTTTCTGGTGGTTAATTGGAGATAAGAGTCTCATGGATGTTCCTGCCAGGGCTGGCTTTTGAACCTCAGCTTCCCGAGTAGCTAGGATTACAGGCCTGAACCACCATGCTCCCTCCTTTCTTTTACCTGTAGTTGGCCAAAGCCAGAGAGGAGAATGATTGGCCTAAGGCCACACAGTTCAAAAAGGGCAGACCTAGCCTCTTACCCAGGACATGTTCTCCCAGCAGTAGCTGCCTTACCCTGTGGCTAAACTTCACACACAAAACAACTAGACTTCATTGATGGCTTGTGGACTCTTTCTTTTTGTTGTTGTTGCCAGTTCTGGGGCTTGAACTCAGAGCCTTGGTACTGTCCCTGAGCTTCTTTGCTCAAGGCTAACATTCTACCACTTGAGCCACAGTGCCACTTCTGGCTCTCTTGGTAGTTAATTGGAGATAAGAATCTCAAGGACTTTCTTGTCCAGGCTCACTTTTGAAACGCCCCTTGCCCCATTCTCAGAGCTCAGCTTCCTGAGTGGCTAGGATTAAAGGCATGAGTCACTAGCACCTGGCCAACTGGTGGAATCTTTTGAGGAATCTAAGGAGGGGATAGGGAGCAAAAACTGCAGGAGCTTCTGAAATCAGATTGTGTGCCTTTCCCCCACAAACGGAGAATGTGCCCACTCTCCTGCGAATTTCTAGCTCTTGCTCTTTTCTCTCAGTCGGTGGAGGCATAAGTGTTGCTAGACCAGGAAGTGCTTTTAAAAAGTAATACACACAATGTCAGGACCCAAAGTCAGAACACAAAGTACAAGAGAACCATTGTCCTAAGTTCCCTCCTGTGTAATGTTTGAGTGACTCAACCTCCACAGACACAATCTTGGCCAACTGAGTAGAAAAGTCAATTACTTATCTTCTGACCACCAGAACCTTCACATTATTTGTGCCCCTGATGCCAAGTTCACCCATTAATGGGTCCCAAAGCCATGACTTGTCTCCCCACTACAAAGCATTTATCCAGCCATGCAGCAGAGCATGGCAGCTACAGTTTTGAGCTCTGGACACTGAATGACTGGTTTGGATTTGGTAGCTCTAAGAGCTAAGTGACTGGAAGACCTCCATCAAGTTCTTCCACCTTTCGGTGCCTCCTATATTAAAACTGAGCTTGTGACTATTTCTGCCTCTGAGGATGGATATAGTGGAAGCCTGTGTGAGCTTCACAGGGCTGCGTCCAGAGCAATGTACCTGCCCATTACTATGAACTAGGCTACACAATCAGAGCAAAGGCTCCCTCCTACAGAGGTTCTACATCCCTCATCAGGGCCTTGAGCAGGCCCCTAGACATCACCTCACCAAGGCCTTGAGCAATTGCACATGCAGGCCCCTGGGCATTGCATCTGTCATGGCTGATTGTCCTGGAAAGACATGCGTGTGTACAACAGGCTGCTCAGACCCCCTGCCCCCCGAAGTGTGCCTGCGAATGGGCACCCAGTCAGAGGGGCCAAAGGATACCGGGAGAGCTCTGCAGGCTACATAGAGCCTCTGACTGAGTCTGGGGCCTGATATGGCCCACAGGCTGTCCATTGATCTTAAGTCCTATAGCTCTGTCCTAGAGACATCTTATGAACCCCTGCACAATGCACCCTAGCTTTTGCCTTTCCTTGAGACCCTTCTTATCTCGCAGGAGCTCTGCTTATCTGTTTGCGCAATGAATCTTCTCCTGTGTCCATGGGCTCCTTCTTCGAGACCACAGAGATAAAGGACCCGAGCTAGGTGTTGGCAGATCTTGAGCATCATAAGCATCTGTGATCAGACATCCCCGGCAAAGACGCCACAGCCAGGCGCTGAGCTCAGGCTGGCTGACCCGTCCCCACTCACCTCGTTCCAGGTCCGTTCCGCTGAGGTCCAGGACCTCGAGGGTGGCCAGGGGCTGGCCAGCGGCTCCGGTGAACGCAGCTTCGGCGATGCCCCCTTGATCGCCGCGGCCCAGCGCACTGGAGGAGAGATTGAGTCTCCGCAGCGCAGGGAAGCAGGCGAAGGCCCGGGGCCGCAGCACCTGCAGCGGGTTCCCGGCGAGCGCCAGCACGCGGAGGCGGCGCAGCGCGGGCCCGGCGCACGGGGGCAGCTCGGCCAGCAGGTTGTAGCTGAGGTCCAGCGTGTGCAGCGCGGCGGGCATCCCCGCGTCCCAGCGCAGCTCGGCGATGCGGTTGTGGCGCAGCGACAGCTCCTGCAGCTCGGGCAGGTGGCCCAGCTCGGGCGCGCTCAGGGCGCGCAACAGGTTGTGGCTGCCGTCCAGGCTGCGCAGCGTGCGCGGCAGGCAGCCGGGCAGGTGCTCCAGGCCGCGGTTCGCCAGCGTCAAGGCGTCGGGCCCCACGGTGGGGGAGAGGCCTTTACAGGGCGAGTCGGTGGTGGTGGCGGCGGCGGTGGCATTGCTGTCACCGTCGTCCCGGGGATTCCGCTGAGTGAGGCGGAAGAGGGGCACCTTCTGCTGGGATGGCCGCCCCAGGGTCTGGTGCGGCCATGGCAGTATCAGCAGCAGCAGCAGCAGCAGCAAGGTCCACTGCATGGCGAGTGTCTGGGGAAGACAGCCGGCAGCCCATGAATGGGGAACCCCAAACGAAAGGGAAATGCGCGTCCACACACAGGCTTGGGATGTTCCCTGAAAGGTTGAGCCGTGACTTGGCGCCAGGCTGTTTCCCTCTAACACACGCCCATGTGCACCATTTCGTGCCTTTCCTCCTCGTAGCGTTGTCTTCATGGCCTGAACCTCCCAGTTACCCCCTCTGTTAACTTATCCACCGCTCCCCCGCCCCACGACCCGACTTCTGCAGAGAGAGAATATCCTCCTTCTATAGTAACTCCCCAGTAAAGAGTCAAGTTCCACAAACCTGACTGCCTGCAAGGTGAAGATGCTGGGCTTGGATAAAAATGTGGGACTGGAGGAAGATTGTGTGTGTGTGTGTGTGTGTGTGTGTGTGTGTGTGTGTGTGTGTGTGTGTGCTGGTACTGGGGCTTGAACCCAGGGCCTGGTCTCTGTCCTTAAGCTTCTTTTTGCTCAAGGCTAGCACTGTACCACAGCACCACTTCCAGCTTATTCTGTTTATGTGGTACTGAGGAATCAAACCCATGGTTTGACGGTTAATTGGAGATAAGAGACTCACGGACTTTTCTGCCCAGGCTGGCTTTGGACCTCAATTCTCAGATCTCAGCCTCCTTAGTAGTTTAGGATTACAGGTGTGAGCCACCAGAACTCTGCTCATGGAGGATCATTTCCATCATGTCCAGCAAAATTCAGTTGTTCTCTTTCTCAATGGAACTGTCCATGTATAAATGAATCTTTATGCCACTTGACATAAAGTAAGTTCTGGGGTCCCTTTTTGAGGAGTGAGCTCAGGGTTGCCTTTAGGAGAAGAAAGGAATCCTAGAGGGTTGGAAGGTTTGGGCATTTCCTGGTCCTTCATCGGGTCCAGCAAAAGAAGGGTCCACACTGGTAGCCCTTTTCCTGTAGGAAAGAGGGATCAGAGTTGCTAGGTGGGAGGTGCTTGTGAGCCCCAGCTGGGGACTGCAGATCAGGTCTGCATGGGGTGGCTTGGAAATGGCAAAGCTACTTCTAAGTAGGTCCTGGCCTGAAGTAACTGCTTGCTATCCCATTATCCCTGCCCTGGCTCTCTGCGTGACTGCCAGAACAACTTTCCAGGCTCTGAAACAAGGGCCTCCTTTTGTGTGTGTGTGTGCTAACTGGAGGTCAGAGGTATAAGAAAGATCTTGGGAAAATCGGGCCAGGAGTGTATACAGCCAGCAGTGATGTTGTCGTACTCACCTGCAGCTGCCCGTGTTGACTGTGGCCCGTCTGAAAGCCCCTTCGCAGTCTTCAGTCTTGCTTTATATATTCCAGGAACCAGTGACTTAGACAGCAAGCTCAGCTCTGAATGCCGCCTGCCACTGGGAGGCCCGGTTCCCAGCTGCCCTTCCCCCTCCCCATTCACCTAGAGGAGCCTGAGATTGTCAGCCTCCCCCAGTCCCTCCCTCCCTCCCAAGGCACGCAGCATTGTGATCATTAGCCAATGCTCTCACTGCTCGGCTCCTTCCTCCCCTCCCCCACCTGGGGTCCAGGCCTGCCTCTTTACAGGCCTGGCACCTCTTGCCTGCCCTCCACATCCTCATGTTCCTTACTCCACCTTTCCCAGGCATGAGAAATGAAGGGAGTGTAGGGGTCACGTGTGAGGACTAATGGCAGAGTGAGCAGAAGTAGTTACGTCACCTCTCAGGAATCTCAGATTCTGCCAGACTGTGCCCACCTCTTTGGGATGGTTCGAGGCAGATGGTGAGCCAGTAGAGGAGGAAGATGTGTGTCCCCAACTTAGAGGAAAGCTTGTAAGAGATTCACAGAGAAGCTTCCAGTGAATCTAGCTCAGTCCCCCAAAGAGTTTGTTGGATGACAAGTGCTGTGGCTCATGCCTGTAATCCTAACTACGCAGGAGCTGAAATCTGAGGATTGAAGTTTGAAGCAACCCTGAGCAGAAACGTCTGTCAGACCCTAATTTCCAATTTAACCAGCAAAATGCTGGAAGTAGAGGAATGGATTAAGCAAGAGTGCTAGCCTAGAGCTAAAAAGCCAAATGAGATTGTGAAGCCTTGAGTTTAAAACCTAGTACCAACACACACACACACACATACACACACACACACACACACACACACACACACACACACACACAACACAGGGAGAGAGAGAATTTGTACAGTAACTGCATTCCCTCTCCTGGTGTGGGAATAAATAAAGGGAACAGAAATATGGAAAGAACATCTTTGCCTCAAGGCTGGAATGCTGATGGATGGATTCCTGATTGGCCCAAACCTTGGGTCTCTCTGAAGATGTGGTGAACAAGCAGGAACTTTGTTTACCATACCTCTCTTTAAATCATACAGCTCTGCTCTTCCCCAAGACTCCAGACAGAGATGGCCCATGTTGCCTGGGTGCTTTTGATCTGAATCTCTCCCCTCACTCCACGCAGGCCCAGGCTGATTTTCCCTAGCTCTGTATGCTGACCTGAGACCCTGAGACCTTCCTATCTTTCCCCTGTCACTTCTTATCTGGGCAGTCCTGAGCAACCCCAGGGCACCTCTAAAACCAAACATGTTTGTGTGTTAATTGGATAATTGAGAGTTCCTGGGGGGGGGACCTTCTCTACCCAAAGTCTCAAAAACCTTCTTTCAGTCTGGTGATTGCCAGGCCTGCAGAGGAAAACTCAGGTGTGGGTCATCACCAGACCAAGAGGGAGAGGGAAGCTGAAGGAAAGTTGAGAAGATGAGAGAGAAGAGGAAGAGGGCTGCAGGTCCCTAGGGAGTGGTAGCAGGGCCTGTATGTCTGCCCTTGCACAGAGGGACCTCCGCAGAGAAGTCAATGCTTCAAGCTTCCCTCAGAATTAAACCAACTTGGTTTAGCCAGGTGAAGAGACTGACCACCCTGAGGCTAGCAGGGGTTTGAGGGAGTCCAGGCAGGACTGCTTAGAGAGGAGGAGGCTGAATCCATGGAAATATGACCTGTTAAGATAGAGACCCTGGTTGTCTTCCTAGTGCAGTAGGCAGTGTGTCAGTCTTGTAAAATAGAGACTGTAAGGAGGAAGGAAGTTGGTATTTCTGAAAGACCTGCAAAGTGGAGCCACAGAAAGTGGAGGTGTGGTTCAAGTGGTAGAATGCCAAAAAAAAAAAAAAAAAAAAAAAGCTAAAGGACAGTGTCCATGTCCTGAGTTCCAGCCTCAGTATCAGTGCAAAACAACAAAACAGAAAAGTAAACAAAAACAAAAAACCCCAGCAATATGTAGCTGGGTATCCTGGCTACTTAGAAGGCTGAGATCTGAGGATCCTAGTTCAAAGCCAGCCTGGGCAGGAAAGTCTGTGAGACTCTTTCATTAACCAGCAAAAAGCTGGAAGTGGAGCTGTGGCTTAAATTACTAGCCTTGAGAGAAAAAATGAACTAAGGGACAGCACGCAGGCCCTGAATTCATGCCCCAGTACTGGCGCACACACACACACACACACACACACACACACACACACACACACACACACATACAGATGTCAGGGACACTCCCCTGTGTACCAGTTGATGATGACGAACGGTATGGAGAGGCACTGACTGAGGAATGTCCCTAGATGATCACTGCTAGCCTGGAACTCCGGTGCTCTCAGCCAACTTCCTGTTCTGCTGCTTGCTGACTGGCATGTCAGATTTAGGGAGGGCTTGGTGTGCGGGCTGATGGATGGTGATGTCTGAGCTTCAATCTCTTGCTCTAGTCCACTCCAGTCCCAGAAGATACATCCTTGCTGGACTTCACAGTCAGGCTCTGAGCTTGGGAGGAGGATGGCAGTCCCTGTCTAGGTTTGCTTATGGTTCTTTTCCAGGGGATAGGTTGGCCTTGTCCTAGCTCATTCCTCTACATGGTATGGGTGCCCTCAAAACCACACTCCTGAGCTAAGTGGTTGGATGCAAGGAGTTTATAGGGGAGATGACCCCTGGTGGCATAGAGAGGGAACCTGCTAGTGAGTGATGAGCCAGGAGTTGCTGTGGGCAGTGGGGACTCTCAGAGAGGCGAAGTGAACACCTGGACAACTCCATCACATGGTGAGAAGCTGGGAGCGTTCGTTCTCTCGCTTCTGCTGCTTGTTGGTTCTTCCTGTCGCTTTAACTTGTGAGCATCTCTGGATTTCCCCAACACAGCTCAAGCAACTCCACACAGGTACTACTGTTAGCACAGTGCCAGTGCTAACTCCCACCACCATTTCACCCAAGCAAGCACTCTCTTGCCTTCCCTGGTCCCCCTCAAACTGCATCAGGTGACCTTTCTTGCTATTCTGTCCCAGGTGACACTGGCTACACACCATCAAGTGACTGATGTGATTCCACCATCCCTTAGGACTGACATTCCTGAGAACTGGGCCATGTTGTCCGTCCCATTATTCCCTAGAGCACAAGGCAGAGTCTGGCACGCAGTGAATTATATTGTTACCCACTTGTCCAGGGGAGAATGGAGCAGGACTTAAAAGAGGACAAATTGAATGCAAGTGTCAAAGATGATTAACCCAGGTCTTCTAGCATCCTAGCATGGAGAAGGGCTAAAGTAAGGGTGGAGCTCAGGGAGAGAAGGGTTTTGTAATCCAGATTCCCTAAATACTCATGGCTCTTTGCAAGAATTTCTCTTGAAAGGTCACATGGTTAGAGTGTTAGAAAAACATGATGGTAGGGAAAGAGCCAGTAAACACATACTTGGCTGTATTTCTCTGGAGATAGGTTAAAAAAAAATCAAGGCCATCCATGGACCCTTGGTTTTGAAGGGCTTTTAGAATTTGTCTGTATCGCTTTAAGAGAGAGAAAGATTGAGCCTCGGAGAGGAAAATTGGCTTGACTGAATTTACATGGATATCGGGTGAGAAGGAAGAGCAACTTTATCCTCAAGGTTCCAACCTGTGTGGGATCCCACAGCCCTCCAGGCCTCTGGCCCTAGCACTGGCAGAGAGCATCTACTTACAGAGCTATGCCTAAGTCCACGCACCAGCTGAGAAGTGCCAGCTGATGGAAGGAAGTCTAGAGGTTTGACCCCTCCTGTTCTATGCCACTTAAACTTCCAGAATCTATAGATCTAAGGCACTTTCCAAGGGGGTCCTGCTGGCTCTGTTCTAGCTCTAAAGAGCTGGCAGGTGAGGAAGGCAGGCTCAGGTAACAGGTGACTGCTTTGCCAGTTACCCTCACTCTGCCTCCAGATGCCAGCTGCCTCTGCTCAGGTTCTTCTCCTCAATGCTGACATTAGATTGTGCAAACTTAAAGCTACATTCTTCTCTGACACCATAGATAAGCCCAAGGAATGGGGTGGGGGTGGTGGCGATGGTGGGAGGAGATGGTACCAGGTTGTCAGGTCTCCAGGAAGAGCGGGTGGTATGCAGCCAAGAGGTTTTTGAGTGCTGGAGACCAAGATATACGAGTGGGCTGGGGGAGGCGGCCAACCTGCCTGCAAGAAAAATTATCTTGAGGAAAGCAAACAGTCATGAGTTGAGACTCAGGCTGATCTTATGTTGAGAGGTCCCTCGGTTCCAGTAAGCTTTCAACATGAGGATGGGGTGAATGCCTAGGATGGAAAAAGGCACCTTCTGAGAGCTTTAAAAAAATTGTCTAGGCTGGGAAGGTGGCTCAGTGGTAGAGCACGTGCCTTGCATGCATGAGGCCCCGGGTTCGATTCCCCAGCACCACATAAGCAAAACGAAAAAAAAAAAAAGCCGGAAGTGGTGCTGTGGCTCAAGTGGTAGAACGCTAGCCTTGAGCTGAAGAGCTGAGGGACAGTGTCCAAGCCCAGAGTTCAGGCCCCACAACCGGACTCAAAAAAAAAAAAATTGCCTAGTGGGCTGGGAAGGTGGCTCAGTGGTAGAGCGCTTGCCTTGCATGCCTGAGGCCCTGGGCTCAATTCCTCAGCACCACATAAGCAAAAAGAAAAAAGCCGGAAGTAGTGCTGTGGCTCAAGTGGTAGAGTGCTAGCCTTGAGCTGAAGAGCTGAGGGACAGCGCCCAGGCCCAGAGTTCAGGCCCCACGACCGGACCCCCCCCCCCCCCGAAAACAAACAAACAAAAAAAAAACATTGCCTAGTGGAGATTGATGAGCAGAGATTGAATATGAAATGAGAGCTCAAATTCAAATCTGCTGCTTGTTTTGCTGTGGCTGTAGGAAGTGAGGTGAGACAGTGGATAAAGGCTGTTTTCGTAAGCCACATACAGTCAGACACAGCACACGAAAGAAAAAAAATGAATCCTAATTAAGACATAGAGCTGAGCATCAGTGGCTCACATTTGTATCCTAGTTACTCAGGAGGCTGAGATATGGAGGACTGTAGTTCAAAACCTGCCTGGACAGAGAAATCCAAGGAGACATTCTCAGTC